TCCCAGGAGGTCTCCCACCCAGGTACTGACCAGGCTCACACCTGCTGAGCTTCACCGGGCTGCCAGTGGTGAGTTGCAGGGTGATGTGGCTGCTGGCACCTCACCTTAATGTCCCTGTGAACAATCTGGTTGTCATGGAGATAGCGGAGCCCCTCCAGGACCTGTCGGGTGTAGAAGATGATGGTGGGTTCGTTGTCCTTCAAAGGCCCCCACTTGGATCGCAGCAGCATGGACAAACTTCCTGCACGCACGAGAGGGTAAAGAGCATGAGTGAATGGGGGGTTTCCCAGCTGCTGCCTTACAGAACGACACTGCCTGTGCGTTTTCCAAAAATATCTGCAGAATTTTCAGAATAGCGAATGTTAACAGGAATACGGGATATAATAAAACAGCATATATTTTTAGAAATGTATACAATTGTTATATAGAAATTTAATTTACAATGAACATGATGCATTATTAAAACTCATTGATTGAGGTTTGAAAATTAGATGGGGTTCACCTGCGGACCTGTGTTTTTCGCATAATGTAAGCAGCTTTGAAAGCTATAAATTTCACTCATTTCTTTCAGGACAACTGGCAAAACCAACAGGCCCCAGAGATTTGTTTGACATGAGTCAATACTTGTAAGGATGCTCTGGTACTTCTAACAATTCGGGCTCTCCTTAACTGATGATATTTAATGCAGAATTTTGTGACAATGTTTGAATTCGGCACAATGGTGCAATCAGCACTTTTTCCTCGGTTAAGTTGAAAACGGAAATAAATCCCCTGGCATTGCTTCTTGTGGATTGAAGACCCCAGGCTTCCTGTCATGGGCAGAATTTCACAATAACGTCTTCTCAGCTAACTTCCCTCCCTCTAAGCAGAGCTCTTTGGAAATCACTTGGCACACAAAATAGAACTAGAAAAAAAAACAGTTTTCCACTCTTATCATTACATCTGCTCTGACGTTCAGATTGGAGTCAAGTGTTTTGCGTCTTTTTGAGCAAAAACATTAATCACTGTTTAGACTGAAAAAACGTAAAGCACACCGATACAGTATATAACAGCTATGGACTCCAAACCAGTTCTAATCTTGGGCGAGGCAAGAAATATATGACATCACTGATTCAGAGAAGCAATAAAGTAAAAAAGCAATTAAGTAAAAACCACGGAAACATTTTAAAATGCCAATGAATGGACTAAATGTAGAAACAGAACCCATGACTCATTTTATGAAAAAGAACCACATGGGATATTACTGACAAACACAGGAGGACAGGAAGCACAGCGACTGCAAAAACATTAAAAAAACTTCCTTGGAAATCCCAGCCCCAGTCCTCTAATGACAGCCCCAGCTCAGAGTGGCAGAACCAAGAATACAATCCGCCAGCACTTTGAAAGCATGGCCATACCTGTTAATCCACCTCCAGGCTGTTGCGTTTCATTTTTACAAAGAGGGAAAAAACAACAACTTTGTAATTAGTGTACTAATAATATGCAAATGTGGATGCTGTCTGAGTGGCATCCTGGACGATACATTGCATGTACAGAGCAAGGCTCTCTAAGCCACAGGGAAACCACATCTAACATAACAGTGTTTCCACAACAGGCATCGCTGCTACACAATATAGGCCAGACTGCATATTAATGGGTGTACAGAAATGAACTGGGGTGCATTAACCTGAACTCCAAACCCCCCCTGTGTGGGCACGGCATACCTCCTGGGACCTCCTCCATGAAGATTTTGATGAAGCCACCCTGGCTGACAGAACCCAGGTACCGAACGATGTTTCTGTGCTTCAGGCGCTTGTGCAAGGCGATCTCTTCATGCAGGGGCTGTGAGTACCTGCGAGAGGAGACGAGCAAAACCGAAGAGTCTGGAGGAGGCTGGCAGTGCAGTGGTTAAGGCTCTGCAAGCCAAGCAAGTTTCTTGACCTCCTTCTTCTGAGTCTGCTAGATGAGACACAGCCGAGATCTCATTATAAGCAATTTGGCAAAGTACACCCTTTTCTGTAGTCTGCACACGCCACTTTGCATACAAGGATCGCTTAGATGACACACAGTACTGTAGTATTACATTTCCCAGACAGCTGATTTGCGCAACACGTTTTAATTTCAGACCTGTTTTCCTACATTGTTTTTCTTTGCAACAGTGAAAAACAAAACTAAAATGCAAAACGGTTTCCGAGAAAAAAAGCTATTTCCTTCTACATCTACATTCCATGTACAGTTGTGAGAAAACATTTGTGAAACTATCATTAGGAACTATATGGATTTCTGCATGAACGACTCCTAAAATGTGATGTGATCTTCATCCAAGTCATAATAATAAATAAAGACAGCCTTATTTAACAAATAACACACACAACATTTTACATGTCTAAATCTTTATGGTTACACATTTTAGGTGCCAATCATGCAGAAATCCATATAATTCCAAAGAGTTCACAAACTTTTTTCTCACAAGTGTAAATGTAGGAACACGATGAAAACTTAGGACAGGGCAAATTCTGGGGAGGCTTAAGAAAAAGCCCAACCGAAACCCACTCCTGAAAGTGCCGTACTTCCGGTCTAGTACTGTGAATCGTCAACCTATTGCACACTGGCACGCGGGACGTTAAGGCTCACCATCCTGCCGTGAAATTTGAACGGTTTCCGGTTCCTGTCACATTACCGAAACCTGCTGAAACCTACAGGGGTCTTGTTCTGTTTGCGCACTTCCTGCTCGTCCTCCATTAGCAGATGAGCATGCAGTTCAGCGAAGAGGAGGCTCCCGCTGCCCTCTCTCTCACTGGAACAAACGGTACGTACGTGCTGTCCTTCTCTGGGATCTCTTTGATGGCAATTCGAACCTGGTTGCTCAGATCCCTGCCGGCGTACACCACCCCATAGGTCCCTTTTCCCAGCACCACCTTCTGGCCGGACTCGTCGTATTCGTAGGCAAACTGCAGGAAGAGGGGGAGAGGTGGGGGTAGATCAGGTCATACTCTTAGGACACCTCTCCTTTTAGATATGTTAGATTTTGCATCTCCCCAGTTGGAGGTCTCCCATTATTCATTATCCCTGGCAGAGTGTGTTCTGGCATTTGAACACATCATGAGCCCCACCTGCCCCACAGAAGAGTTGGAATCGACGAATGAGGGAAGAGTTTTACACTCATGCCACCACAAGCCTACTTTGTTGAATAGCCAAGAGAGAGCACTGGCCAACCAATCCCAGCACTGTCCTATAAGCAATCAGTCAATTCCCAGTCCAGTCAGCAAACTATGCAAGCACCATTATCATCAGAGCCTTAGTTTAGTCTTTTTGTTTTAAATCAAACTCCGAAAGACTAAAAAGGTTCTAAAAAATGATGCGCCAATTCGCAACAAGTCCAACTCACTTCCAGTACACCCCCAGAGCAGAGGCCAGGATCTTCCAGATGCGATTCATTCTGCTCCACAAAGGAGTTCACCACTTCACAAAACCTGCAGGCAACACGAGAGTCAAGTGACATGCGACATCACAAAAACCTAAGCAACAGGGGTAACGCTTCACAGCGACACCTACTGCAGAGCTGCTACCTCAGGCCTGCCCCCTTAAACAAACCCCTCTGCCCCCGGCTTCCTTGCCCATGTGGAAGGAGGACCTTGAACTGCTCCCACTATTCCAGAACATGACACACACAATCCCAACATAAAGACCGCAACACAAGAAGTCTATACCTATTTTTCAGTGTTCATCTGAAAATACTAAAAACCCTGCTGGCAAAACCCTACAACGTGAAAAAATGCCAAAAATAAATTGTAAACCTTATCAGCAATTGGGTGATGCAATGACTAAGCAAATTTTAAAGATAAAACACAGCTGTATGCTGCAGTTGTTTTCTCACTGCTCCCAGTGCATGTCCAATTTTCAAACTGCTTTATCCACAATATATGGTATACACCACCAGAGAAACCCCAGCTCTGAAGCTCTCGATTTCTGTCTAAACTGTGGCAGCTCTCCTCAGAGGGAGGAGGAATACTAGAAAATGAGTCTTCCACTAAAATGGGCTACTAAAACAGATTTAAAACTGTATAGTTTGTCACGATATTTTCTTTAAACACATTTACTTTTAATTGCTTGTTTACAACATTAAAAGCACAACAGCAGACATTCACGTCCCTCTTGCCCCTGGAGTCTCATGTGGACAACCAGATTGAGAGGAGCGAGTCGAATGTTTGCATGTGGGGGGGACAAGAATCAGGCCCTCAGTCAGCAAACAGCTGGGACTGTGGCGCACTGCTAATGGTTTACATACTAACACGCCCGCGTCTTTGGCAAGGAAAGATTTCCGGTGGCCCACCCTTTGCAGTGCAGCTCACTGGGAAAGTAGAGCTGGAAATCGTCGGAGTTGTACAGGACATAGAGGAAGCAGCAGCGCTCATCAAACTTCGAAACACTGGAGAAGAAGAAAGGATAAAGGCCACTGTTCAGCTATCGGAGCCGACCCCTTTCCACTTTTGCGGAAAACTAGGCAGAACCATCTTTCAACGACTGGTTGGATTAAAAAAAAAACACTAGGATGAAACATCTGCTACTACAGCAGGGGCAGCACACGTGCTCCAAAGTGTTTTCCCAAAAAACACATTACTCAGAGTACTCCAGCCTCCTCCCACCCCCAGAGACATACTGGCCAACTTAGTTAATGTCTAGAAAGTGTCCCTGTACATGTATGTGTGTGTTATACTGCACCATAGGTGTCTGGGATAGGCTCCAGTTTGCTAGGACTCTTGTCCAGAATAAGCACATAAAAAGATGCTGCATAAATGTGCTGCATGAAAGATACATTGGTGGTTGGGATCCACTGCGAAACAAACTTAAGATATGATCTGAGACAGCAGCATGTTCTGTGATCTCCTCAAGGCTGTAACAGAAGCTGTTCTGTACAGGTTCTAGTCTCCAGGGACTTTATGAACTGTGAAGAAGCAACAAATATTGTTCATTCCACAATTCCAGAATTCAAGGAAATTAAAAGCAAAAACTTGATTGCAACTGTTGCAATCAAGCAACTATTTTTCTAAAACATCAAATGTTTTTCCAAGAAACTCACTACCTAGGGAGCAGGAAAATTAATAAAGATATTTAAAGTTTCATGAAAACATGTCCACAAAACTTTCAGTGGTTAACCTCAACCTCAGAAGCCCAGGAAGGAGTGACTTTGTAACAACACATTAATGTAACAAAAAAAAACAAGGGTTTGACTGGGCTGAACAGGCCTGTGCAAACATACCAGCTTGGCAGCCTGCACAAATAGCTATTTGTAAATGACGGAAAGAAATGACCCACAGCATTCAAAAGATTCAAAAGGGGCAAAACATTCTAATGGTATCTTCAGTCTGTTTGGAAAATTCCCAAGATTGCTGCCTGTGATGCAGAAATCTTCTGAAGCAACACAGACAGTAAAAGGCAGCACATACAGTACCTCACTCCTCGAATTGCAGATGCTGGGAAACGCCAGTGGTGCAGACCTTTCTGGAAAGTTGGACATAACAGATGTTTTTCACATTTTGCACACAGTGTAATGTCGGATTGCCTTTTAGTTTCTAATTTCTTGGAAATTTCTCATTTTGGTCATTCTGGAAGTTCATATTTTCATGCAATGGAACCATTCAAGAAGAAAAGGGCAGGTGTTCAGATTGCATAATTTCCTAACAAGATCTCTTCTTTCTACTACTGTGAATGCAGTAGTATTTTTTATACAAAAATAAAAAAATGCATATACTTCTACAATTTTTCCAATCAAAGCAACATTATGTTTTTTACGCAAGTCACAATATAAAATGTTTAGATGTCATGTGCCAACGGACAGGCATGTTGTACCTTGTCTGTAGGAGAGACATGCTCCAACTGAACAGTCCTGTTCTCTTCTTCCTCACTCAAACTCACAATGGCAGGCTGGAATACTTTACTGGGCTCCAAGATAAGAACCTAGAAGAAAGAAAAACAGCAAAAGCCATTTGCATTGGACCCTGCTCTAAATTTCTAACAAACGCCAGGAAACACAGACAAGAGTAAGTGTAACACAGAACTGCAACACAGACAAGTAAATGCCAACTGTGTTGCTTCAGAAACCAAGAAGGGGCCCCTGTGTCCCTGACTCACTCATTCAACCACACTCTCGCAAACAAATAATCAGAACATCTTACAGGGCACCTGGTAGTCTTCACTGAAGGTTTGCAGGCCTGCAGTAAAAAGTTCATCCAGAAGTCCACTATCTCCTGACTGGGAGATTTCTCTTCAGGAGGGTGAGAGAATTGTTTGAACATCAGGTACGTCTCCATGACAGACCCTAGAAACCTGAGCAGCAACAGAATCAGGAGTCAAACGTTTCAAGGAGACAGAACAATGGTTCAACTACAACTACAATGAATCAAGTGTTTAGTGCCGACAAAAACATGTTATTTATGTGCTGTGAAACTCCGAAAGGTTTTTTTTTCCCCCAATAACGCAGAGGCAGAGTGTGCACCTTAGCTGAGGTCCATATGCAGTTGTTGTATAGTGCCACACAGTCCACACCTGGCCCTGCAGCCTAATATCAATTGACTTGAGTTTGCAGTTCTGTCAAGCTTCAAGCCCAGATTGAAAATTCATTGGCCTTTTCCGCTGGCAGGACTTGGAAACCCAACACGCCTTAGAAGGGTTCAAGACTATAAGAAGAAATGCCTCTTCAAATCCCTGCTTCTCTCATGTCAATCATATTATAAATGACAGAGGTATTTCTCACCATATTGGGGCTTTCAGCTTGTATAGCTTTTCAGAGGCTGGGATGACTTTTTTGTGCTCGTTGGCTAGGATGCTGGCTCCCAGATAAAACCCCACATCCCAGTAAAACTGCATCTTCTCCAGGCTGCCCTTCCTGCCCAGAAGGCTGCTCAGCTTCACCCCTGTCATGTGCCACACAGACAGGACGACAGGAAGTCAGTACAGCACAGCACACTTGAGCCGAGCAACAGGGTGTCCACTTCACGCACAACCGTAACAAAAATCATTTACAAGATTTTCCAGTAAATCCGGAAACCACCCCGAGTTTTGTCTAAATAAGCGTGCTATCAGCAAGGAAAAACAAATATCACACAGAGGCAATGAGGCATAGCATCCCTGGCTCACCATATTCCAAACACACACAGCAGGGAAAACACTAACTCTTACAAGTATGTGGGAGCCAATTCAGGATGTTCCCATTCTTTGATATAAGATCTATATTCCTTAGAAAGACACCACATGCTATTTGGTGCCAATTCAGGATGTTCCCATTCTTTGATATAAGATCTATATTCCTTAGAAAGACACCACATGCTATTTGGTGTCTTTCTAAGGAATTGTTAGTCCTGTCTTATCAGATGCATTCCTGACCCCAGGCATATAATTCTGAATGTCTACTGCTAATGTTTCAGTACATGCAAGTCCAGTCGATAGCTGCTAATTCCTTTTGGCAATGTTATTCAGGCACTGACAATTTACATACCGATTTTCCGGAGTTCAATCGAAGTCTCAAACTTATGACCTGCTGCCATTAAAAGAACGACGTTGTTGATTCCCGAGTGCAGAGTTGGCTCACTTCTAAATGCTCTACTGTACCTGAAAGTAAAGGCCAAGTAAAAAAAACTGGGTGAGACCCCAGAGCTTGGTTAGTCTGCATATTGTGACAGCATTGTGCACACCTTCTCCTGGGGCAATTCTGGTACACTGAAAAAGCTGTTAAAGTGTAATGAAGTGGGACATGTATACATCTCACTTACCCAGCATCGCAAATATCACCACTTAAGCACATTGTGAGAGGTGTTGCTGGGGTCTGTTAATTTAGCCTTCAATAAAAGTCACGCTAAGATGCCATAAAGCTGACTTGCTTTAGCAGCTCCAGTGACTTAACACTACATAATTAAAGACAGGGACAACACCCACAAACGGGACAAAGCAGACCAATGCCTGCTGCCTATCAAAGGACAGAACCTAAAGCAAGACAGAGTAGGACAAGAGGTTATTACATATCAAAGAACAGGACAAGCACTCAGATTGTGAAATAAACTTTCTTCTGACTGTATATAAGAGCTGGGAAACCCTTGCAGTTTGTCTGTTCTGTGGGGCAGACCCAGCACGCATTGTTGGACTTATTGAGCTCAATTAAAAATGAATCTGCACAAGACTGTGTCCTGCTCCTCTGATGCAGAATTTCCCACAACAGTGGCAATTCTAGTACACTGAAACAGCTGTTAAAGGGTAACATTTAAATCCTGAAGAAAAACAAGGAAAATGTCCCTTAATTTGAATAAAGTACAACAGAGATACAATGCTCAGTGTACAGTTGAGACCTGGCATATACTATATTACCACTCGGTTCAGAGCTGAGGCTTTAAGAAACACATGGCCATCTGATTCAAAGCAAGCTGTAGTAGATGGCAGTAGTTACTTTTTAAAAAACATGCACAGCATTCACTGGCCAGGCTGGGACCTGCCGCGGTTTTGCCTACCAGTCGCTGGCCTGGTCTCGGCTGCTGAGGTCGGTGAACCCAGAGCTGATGAACATGTCCTTATAGATCCGTCCACACAGGCAGTACAGGTCAGAGGCCACGCGCTCCTCTGACTGCACCACAGGAAGAATCACCGCAAGGGCCTTCTGTCTGTCCCCAGGGCTGTTCCTCCTGCACACACAAACACACTGGAATGCACGCCAGGGCATCTACAGAGAATGGACCCATCGACTGTCTACAGCATGTAACAATCTCCCAATACAAGCACACATATCATCAGCCCCTATTTATGCCTCCTTATCAAATTGCCAAGCAAAATCATTTACCGTGAAGTGGGCAATTCGCCACAGGGCTTGATTTTGTAAAAACTAAATGGATCTCACACAAGTTGTGTAAGGCAGTGCTTCTCCTCCTTACCCTGACAGGCCCCTGTTTCTTCTCCACTTCATCCCAGCTGATCCTTGTTAACAGAATTTCTTCCTCCATCAGAAACTGCTCACTTGCTTCTGCACTTACTCTTCTGTTTCAAGATACCCCCCACCCAATAAGCAGCTGGAGGAAAGGTCTCTGCCTCAATCCAGAGAGCCGTTCTCAATATGTGCCCAGTTACAGTAATGCTGCCCAGTCACAGGAATCTTTCGTCTTAAATGGTTAAGAGCTCAGTTGGCATGAAGACCAAAAGACACAGGGGATCTCCAGCACCAGGCTGTCGCCCTGGTATCAGCCTCAACAAGCTGAACACTGACTGTTGGAGGCACCTTTATGTGGGATTGTAGGTTGATCTCATATTCTATATCTCTATAAAGATTTACAGAGGAAAACACCCTAAAGCTTCCTGTACATGGTAAAAAATATCACGTTTGAAACACAGCAATTACCGGTTTAGTGCAAAAGCGTAGTGAAATTTTATATTCAGCTGCATAGCCAAAACACAGGTTGGTAGGCTGTTCAAGGTCTCAACCAGTTTTATCATGGCATCATAGTCCTATAGACAGAAAAAACAATACAATCACAAAAGAAATCAGCAATTAACTAATAGATATTTATAAACAATTTATTTTTCAGTAATGGAAAACAAAACCATATTCTTGGCATACATTCTTTGGCAAATTGATATAAGTTAATTTCATATGAATCTACTGAATGAAATCATTTATTACTGTACCAAAAACAGTAAATAAATGCTATAAAATAAATACGACTACTGCGATGTTTCTTTACTCATACAACAGGAAATAAAAGGCACTACTGACAGGATACCGTCATCTCTTCTGTCCTGAGAGAGAATGAACATAGCCAGGTGGTTGTTTCAGTACATCCCCAGCAGTAACACCCTGTCACTGTAAAGCTTCCCAGCAGTGACAGCATCTGCGACGGCGATTAGAAAACGCTACTCCAGCCTCGCGACCGGGGGTATGTGAAAAGACATCCCTAATGCAAGAAATTGTACATGGCGAATAAAGTGATCAATGCTAATAAACAGCACCTGGACGTCCCTGTAGGACAGCAGCAGATTCATGACGACGTCGGCGCTCAGCAGCTCCACGCTGTCCAGACGCTGCTGGATCTTGCCCAGCTCTTGGCTCAGCTCACTCCCACTGTACCTCTCCCTCGCAACACGGATGTCATGCTGAATCGTCTCCCGGAAATATTCACTGCAAAACGATAGTTATGATGTGTAGTTAGGACTACGGCCCCAAACACATCCCCAGTCTTTCAGTGAATAATCAGCAGCTCCCAGTATCCTGATCACTGCTGGGCAGTAGGTGGGAATAACATATCAAGGTTTAGTGAAAAACAGTCCAGAGCAACTCGACTGATCAGAACAGAATTTCTAGGCTTTCAGGAGATCATAATCAATAATTTACAACTGTGCTTCTCAGTCTTTGTTTTGGTCCTGGAGCAGTCTTGTGCCTGCTGGTTTTGTTCCAAGTGATCTCTTAATTACGAGTGTTAACTGGAGCCTGTAATTGCCGAGACATTTTTCACATGGGAATAACTCTGCATTGGACACCTCTTACTGCAGGTCAATGTTATTCCTACTGTTTAAATCCAACTGGCCGGATTTCAGGTTGCACACCTGAACGAGGGCAGTCCTGAACCTCACTTTCCTTAGCCTCATTTGCCTTTTTAAAATATCTTGAACACAGCGCCTCGAACTGAAATAAAATGAGCCTGTGATTAAGAACCTGACTGGAGTAAACTCCAGGGTGAGGAATATATAAGAAGGTAAGGTTACAAATGATTTGTCCCACCTTCCTTGCTGATAAGTAAACAGCCTAAAATAATTTTGATAATAATACAATTTTACACGTGCCTTACATAACTGAATGTTGAAAACAATACTTAAACAAACAAGTGAGTAGTTAATACTAAAGAAACCGCACCCATATTTAGCAATTATTTTTTTAATTCATGTCAAGACTGGGAACATTCTGCAGCCCGTGCTGTACCAGTGGTCAGGGGAGTGTCCAGCTGAGCTGTAGCTCTTTCAGACACACTGAGTCCAGAAAACAAGGATGTTGCATCCCCACACTTTGGGAATGCTCTTGCTGATCACTGGAAAACCTTCTTTAAGTGAATGAGTTATTATTATGAGTAATGAGCTGCTTGGCCAAACCAGCTGTGAGGTTTGAGCCGGCACACGGAGAATGTGCAGAGCACAGCGACACGTGACCCCGCCAGCGCAAGTGGAGACGATGTAGAAGAACATTTCATACTGAGAATAGGAGGCACTTCTTTACCTAATGGGTTAACATAGTATTGAAGAAACTACCCGGCCATATTGCTGAAGCCGATAGCCTTGCTTCTTTCCAGAAAAGGGCTGGATACAATTCTTGGATCAATTAACAACTAACTACCAAAAGGGCTATACAGGTGGAATGGCCTCCTCTCGATTGTAACCTCTCTTAGTTTTTATGAACTTGCAAACCAGCCCTTAAATTCCCTTGTCCATCCATCCATCTAACCCAAACCCTCAGCCCAGCTGACGACAGAACGGGCAGCCGGCCTACTGCGGAACACAAGATCAGAACTCAAGCTGCGCTGAGTGACGGCGCTGGAAGGCACCACTCACCAGGAGTGGATGTGTACGCTGTCCAGCAGCTTGATCAGGCAGTCGACCAGGGGGGTGAGAAGAGGCTCGATCTTAAAACTAGGCTGCAGAAACTCGGAGAGACACTTCATCATGCCCACGTCACAGGCAAACACTTTGCCCTGGGGAGAAACCATGTAGGGGATGAAGGTGTAGCTTCCACACTGCTCCTGAAAAGGGAAGACAGACCAGGTCAGTGTTTGTGTTTCCGCCTGTGCTCACACTGGTACTTGATCCTGAAGTGAGACCAGAAAAAGAAGATCTCCTCGATATCAGCCGTTGTAAAGGAAGGTAATAGCATGCAGGATGTATACAGACTCACAGACCTGGTCCAAGCTCCCTTTTGTCTGTACCACACAACAGTCACACCTGTCACATGTACTGTACCAGAGATTCAGGAACATGTTGTAAAATTAGCCTTTTGCTCATTGCTGCACTTCAAAGACTTGCAGAGCTTATTCGATATTTACTGTGGACAGTTTGCACTGTATTTTCACTGACTATGCCATGCATTTTTACTTTGACAAGGCTGCTCCTACAGTATGTGCATGATGATTTTCTTTCACATTTCTGTGTGCTTTGATAGTTTACTGTGAATATGACTGGGCTTCACTACAGTTTACTTTGCAGGTTTTGTGCAGACTAACCTTTAAATGGTAAAACACAAAAGCACAAACATGTCACCCTATTAAATACATTTATTATTTGAAGAACTTACAATACCAATACAATGGGATTCTTCATTTTAAACAAGAAAAGGAAAGCTTTCGTTTAGTTCTGTTTTTACCACAAATTTAATACAAACTTACTAGTACAAGAAAACCTCAGGAAGTAGCAGACAGCAAAGTATAAGAACTCCCAGCTTCCCGGTTTCATTGGCACACACATGGCAGCACAGCGATATATCCTGCTTGGCGTCTGCACTAGCAAGTTCTCAAACCCACAGCACGTTTCTAAATTTAAACTTCCCCAGATGGATCGTTTCAGACGTACAGCAGCATCAAAAGTCCTCCACTGCCTCTAATGATTCTCTGTGACGTCTCTTGATCCTTTAAGGACTAGATAACCCCCATAAAAATATTTATTCCACAGTCTGCAAACTGGCAGCTACTGAGATAATCCTAGATTGAAAGATCCAATAAATGACATCTGGGGGTTCTGGCTCCCGTCTTTCCATCATTTGAAAAAAAAAAGTAGTAGCTCAACGGTTTGCTGAATGCAAGTACTAAAAATGACTGACAGTTTAATGTTATCAGATAATTTTTATTAGAATAAATGTATAAGTAAATCCAGCAGATCTTGTAAAAGATTGCAGGCCCGTATCTTATCTGTGACTTGGAGCACAACCACTTAGCAAAAGCTTTTTAGCAGAAATGCACAGCTCAGAAGTGCTTAGTGACCAGTGTATGACATAAAATAAACGATTACCATGAGCATGCTGAGCTTCTATGAGCAGCAGGAACAGATTGTATAGGAGATGTGTGATTTTCACAACTTCGTGAAATACTTGCAGGCTGATCTCATGGCAGGCTCCTAGCATGATCACCCGAGACAGCGATGAGGGTAATAGAGTCTGGGTCTGTCGGATATGCTGACTGGCACATTCCACCAGTTCCCAGTGGGACTGGCATCCAGGGACTCTGGCCAGGAAAGATGTCGTGGGGCTTTCTCATGCTGCTTGAGCCAACAGTCGCATATAAAGCAAAACTGAAACTGTGCATGCAAAGAATGCACCAGACAACCTTGTGCACTTTCTAGAAATGGCTATACGAGCTCCACAGGACAATTAGCTCCTAAAATCCAAACTGGCTAGATGGGTTGGGGAGCCTCCTCTCATTTGCAACTCTCTAATGTTCTTACTTCAGTGGTTATATTACCCATGATGCCCGTTACAAAACATTCAACATAGAAGCTGTCATGCCCAAAAATTGCCCTTCAGAAATGCATTAAGAGCAGAGAGATAAGAGCACAAAACTGGTTCCTCCAGGAACCTCCTGCTGAGCTTCAGTGCCTGCAGAAAGGCGCGCTGCTTCCTGCAGTACAGGATGATACTGTTGGTCTGATTGAGCGATAGCGCCTCTTAACCACCAAGACGGCAACTGCTCCCATCTCTGACATCCATGTGCGACAAGGACTGACTGAGCAATTCTTAGCCACCGGCCCCCACTCTCTCTGTACAGCTCCAAACAACAGCACCTGACAGCCTCCGCTGACAGTGGAGTCCATTCATGCAAAATCTGCCCGATGTCTGTGTCGAAAGCAAACAAGCATCTTCACCATCAACAGCAAATGGCAAGAACATACGGAAATCCATGGAAAACCCTAGAATAAGTTAGGAGTTGTACTGACAACTAAAGAGTTCAACTTCCTAAACAAAAAAAAAATATAATTAACATTATTGATCTTAGAACTGGTTCGCGATGCATGTCAGAGGTAGGTGTGAACACTACCTATTACTTAACATGTTTAAAGTAGCAGTATTTGAAACATAGCAGCAATATGGATAATGACTGACAGGTATGATTAAATTTAATGCCCTTCCTTCAGACTAGTAATAACAACAAAGCTATCTTGGGTAACCGTATGACTCTGCATTCACTGACATTCCAGCCAGGAGGAATTAAACTGCCTGTAAACTAAAAGCCATCCATCAGTTCTACCTTTTCCAAGAAGCAAATGGGTGACTCCTTCCCGTGTGCTGTGAACATTTAAAACTGAACCCCAAATGACAATTTGTCACAGATCAGTAGCCTTGGTCAGGCGGTCACATGTTCTGACTGTTGTCAGTGAAACTGCTGATATTATTTCACATTTACTGTTCTTTCCTCACCCCTGGCTGGTGTATTTCCTCATTCCTACACTAAATCACAGCTCGACCTCGTATTCACATCAACACAGTAGTGGCGACTGACGCTTTTTGCAATGTTTGTTCAAATGGTACTATTGTATATTTATTGTACTGTAGTGCATTGGGTCAGCACAGTGGGGCAGTGGCAAGACCTCCTGCACGGTGTTCGCATGCTGCATGCAGTGATAAGTTTATGAAGTTATTGCCACTTTCCAGTAACAGTTTATGCTGTACTTCTGCTATGCTTGAGTACTGAGGGAGATCAAGAGTTAACCCCAGAGCGTGAGCTAAACATGTTGCAACCTACTTAATAAATGAATAAATTAACCGACAAGAAGATAATTCTGTCAATTAACAGGTTTATAAATTGTCTGATTTTTCCAAAAATAAAAGTGTGATTTCAATTCTATATGGAAAAAAATAGGTTGGTATATGACTAAATGAATTGTTTAGGAAAAAAGGGAAGAATTATAAATACTGGGAAGAGGTAACACTACAGACTGACCTCCCCAGGAAATGTCTAATCAACTATCCCTCATAATTCTATAATCAAGAAGCACAAAAGAAAATCTGGAGAGCCCTGTATACTCACAATTGGGTCAATAAAGAACAATTAGGTCAATGTTTGGCTAAGCGGTTAAGTGCACTACAGACTTTGCCCAAGCAAAGCTGTAGAGCACATTTCTCACCTTCAGCGCCTGCAGATCGGCCTGCTGCTTGTTGCAATACAGGATGACATTGTTGCTCATGCTGAAGCTCTCCCTCACGCCCAGGTGGTAGAAGAGAGAGGGCTGGCAAAAGGAGTCGCTCATCTCCACCACAGCCACGTCTGGGGAAGAAAGAAACGCTGGTGGGGCTGCTGGGCTTTGCGGAGGGCTCCACACTTTCCATAATATTTTTCTGGACACTCCACCCAAAGTGCTTTACAGGTAATGGGGACTCCCCTCCACCACCTCCACCACCAGTGTGCAGCCCCCCACCTGGATGATGCAACAGCAGCCATAGTGCACCAGTACGCTCCCCACACACCAGCTCTCAGTGGGGAGGAGAACAGTGATGAGGCCAATTGATTGATGGGTTTTATTAGGAGGCCATGACTGATAAAGACTGGGGGAAATTTGGGCAGGCATAACACCCCTACTCTTTCGAGAAACGCCCTGGGATTTTTAATGAGCACAGACAGTGAGGACCTCAGTTTTCACGTCTCATCCGAAGGATGGCGCCTTTTTACAGTCTAGTGTCCCCGTCACTATACTGGGGCATTAGGACCCACACAGACCGCAGGGTGAGCACCTCCTACTGGCCCCACTAATACCTGTTCCAGCAGCAACCTTAGCGTTCCCAAGAGATCTCCCATCAAGATACTGCAGGGTCACATCTGCTGAGCTTTACTTTTAAAGCAGAAACTTTCAGAGACCAGTGCAAAACTATCTCAATATCCTCCCCTTCCACACAAACACACAAAACCAATACAATCCAAAGCCAGTTCAGTTCTCAGTTTCATCCCTGCAACTGCAGTCTGACAGATAACATCAGCAGTAAGTTCCCAGGGGATTTCCGGTTATTAATAATTCATTACTAGGCTTTACAGGAAAAAAAATTGTTGTATACGTTTAATAAATTTGCGTGCATCTATCGGATTCACAAAGTAAAAGCGATGTAGTGCACGACCTTAGAGTTCAGGTGCAACTAGCACCAAGGCTTCATTTCTATAGATTAATGATCTATGTAAGACTCAGAATTAGTTTTTGAAGTTTTTTTACTATTAGGTAAACTACTCTAGTATTACTGAAACCATTTTAATAAGGTGCGTATGAAATAGTCGTTTTTCAATGTATAGCATTGGAATAAGAAGATTACAGCGTTCACAGCCGACAGAACCCGTGCAAACACCTTTACCTGCCCGCTGGTCTACACTTGCCTGCGTTGTAGAAACTGTCTAACACCTCCGTCGCCCCCAGCGCAATTCTCTCAAACGGGATAGCGGTCAGGACGGCGTGGGTCCCGGCGCACGCTTCTTTCAAGCTCCCCAGCGAGAGATTCTCCTCCATGTGAGGCAAGGACGCGTCTTCCACCTCGACGTACACCACCGTAACAGCCCTCGTCCGGCTTCGCGGGGAGATGACGCTCTTGCCCGAGTTGCTCATTTCAATCGCCAGCGGGTCTTGCCAAAAGCACCCCGCAGACTCCCCGCTGGCCCTCCTCAGCCTGTGTGCGCAAGCCGTGCTGTTATCAAACGCCTCCATCCGCACAACCTAGCTCCCCTTCTTAAAAGGGAGGGTGGGAAAAAAAAGTACTTTGCAAAAGTGCGTCAGGTCAGCACTCCCCGAGTCGCCTCCACAGCCATGTTTCTCTTAATTCCTCAGGTGAGGCAAAACTAAACTTGCGTCTGTTCCCGTTCCCACCAGTCCCGCCTCTCTGAGAGTTGAGAGGCGAAGTTTAACACAGACAGGCGACCTCTGGTGTCTCTCCGAGCACACACCCAGCGAAGCGAAGTTAATAGAGTGCTGGATATGTCATACTATACATGCACTTAAAAAGAGATAAAAAGGATTGATATTTTTATTCATTATTCCAGTAGTCAGCTCTTATCTGCTTTTTTGGGGGGGAAAAGTAATGAATCACAGCTAGGACACCTGAAGAAGGCTCCACGGCCGAAACGTTGTGTTCTCTTTCTTCTTTTTTTCAGCATGGAATAAACCTATTACTTGTTCCATATTAGGAACATTCTGCTTATCCCTTCTTAAATCGAAGTGTGCGCTATTATTACAGTTTCTCTACGTGTAGATTAAGACTATGCGTCTTCTGTGATGGAAAACCCACAATAATTATAATATCCCGAATAATTAAACGCCTGGTGTGAAATGCAAAGCAATGCTGGGTTAATTCCTGCAGTCTTCCGGAGCAGTTAATGGAGATGAATCATTTTTGCGTGATTTCGAAATTCCTTAGTGCACGAGCGCTGCTTGGAATTATTCGTGCAGGTTAACTGGTAAAACTTGCCTCTTAAATGAATCCGTTTCAGGTCAACTGCTCTATCTCCAGGGTTTTCCTGAAGTTTTATAGGAGTTTCGGATTTCAAACGTCTTCCCTCACACGGAAGAACTGTTGATTTTTTTTTTAAAAGTTAATTTCCCCCGCCAAAGAACTTACTTTTGGAAAAAGTCTCAAAACCGGAGCTTGTTACTGTAATCGGGGTTTTAAAAGCGGCTTTCCTGAACATATGTGCAGCGCTTATCCAGCTACGTTAAATGTTGCATTCCAAGACTACGTTACGCAAGAGGTGAGCGAATAAATACTGCATAAGTCCGCAGACTGGGCGACACTGACCCCCCCCCTCCGGGTTAATGGAACACTCGAACTCCAGGAGTTCCGTTCCGGGCTTTTTTTGTCACCGAAAGCGTTCCAGTTCCTGGGTTGCCAGGGCAACCGATGTTTAACAATCCCACCTTTCAGGGCCACGAAGGGCGAAAGACCGAGCGGAGCAGCACACCTGAGAAACCCGGGTGAGATTTCCTTTCCGCGGGGGAGACGCGGCTTTCGTGTCTGCAGTCTTTTTACGGGAGCCTCCGAAACGTTTGCCCTAGTGTCGCTTTGGCTCAAGGACGCTGGGGTGCTCCTGTTATTTATCTTACAGAACCGCGGATGTTGTATTATTCTTTTCTCCTGTAGATTTTTGCAGGCACCCTTCAGAAACACAAGGGAAACTCATCCTTAGCGGTTGACCCACGATTCCTGTTTTAATTACATGCACCATTTTCTAAATGTCATTTTTTTTTGATCAAATCGCTATTTTCGAAATTATACCTCCAATTCCCCAGAGTCCACTTTGAATTAATTGTTTTTAATCTCTATATAGCGCACCGTACCTCGAAAGATCTCCAAGCGCTTTAATGTTCCAAGTATCAGATTTGATGCTGGTTACACGAAGGGTCGGTTGTGCTTTTTCAGTTTCATATTTTTCCTTCAGTGCGCAGTGATGTCCAGCGTTACTTGTCACTGTATTCCTTGGAGAAAAGCTGGGGTATGTACTATGTATGTACTATGTATGTATGTACTATGTCACTGTATTCCTTGGAGAAAAGCTGGGGTATGCGAAAAGACGAATTCCTAATGCAAGAAATTGTATAGGGCTAATAAAGAAACATTATACATTATATTATTATAACGATTAGTACTTAGTGTTCTGGTGATTTGTTTTTTTCTGTAAAACAGATTCAATGGCAGCCGAATCTCTCCCTGCTGAACTCTCCTTGCCGCTAAAAAACAAGAACACCCACTGCGACCGAGTTGGCAAACTCTATAGAGGTATCTAGGCATTTGTGCCGCTGAATGTTCATTAAGGACTTAATAAAATGTTAAACATCGTGTGACTGGTTCATTTAGTATTGCAATCTGTAATTTGTCACGGTCCAGTGGAAGCATTACATCGTGAAAAAACGATTTTTCATTCCGATCATTTATTCCATCTACTGTAGGTTGCAGAATTTCTGCAAACGTGTCCTCCATTCCTACTAAATACCAGACCGTGGTCATCTGCAACACAGAAAGAAAGGGCTTCTCTTCGCAGACCAAAAGGTTTCTGTCCGAAACCAATCAGGTAAATGATGTTATGTGATAGCTGCAAATCCGAAGTGTGAGTTGTTTTTTTTTAATAAAAAGAGCCAATTCATTTTTTAATGTCCGTAACAGAGATCAAGGTAAGAAGCCAATACTTTTTGTCTCACTGAGCTCAATTCCTGGTGTGTCAGCAGGGGTCTTGACAACCTGATTCAAGTGATTATTGGCTTAACTGGACCGGTTTAACAGCTGCTCTGAGCTCTTCGGTTGCCGCTGCTGTAAAGAAACCTGGGAAATTGGCTGAAACTCCTGCCCTCCAGTGCCAGGGCTGGGGGGGCCCTGACCTACACTCTGAGTGGGTTGTTGGACCCCTGTACTGCAGCGTGAAGCATTAAGATAAAGAAGGATTCTGAAGGAAATCTCACTGAATCACGGACCTTTCATTTCAAAACCCCCTTGTTGCTAAAAGCACAGTAAATTTAACTACTAAATCAAATAGCCCAGATTAAAATGAGCACCCCATGAGGAGCCGGCCAGTCTCCTTGTATCTCTTCCTCGCCTGTTGTAGGAAGATGGGGCTCCTGCATAGCGGAGATGTGTTACCTCTTTATCTCAGGGTGGTTCATCTTATATAACACAGAACATTGGTGCGTAAAAATACTCTCTGCCCGTAATATGTCATGGCTAGACTCATGTGTCTTCTTATTTTTTAACATTTCAGAATGAAAATCCCGGACCCGGTTCTTATATTTCCCACAAGCCTGCTGAGCCGCACAGCTCCTCATTCTCGAAGAAAGGGACTGGCAGCTTCGCTTCCAGAGTCCGTTCCTGTTTTTTATATATTATTATTATTATTATTTTACCACATCCTGGTTCCACGTACTGTAAGTTTAGTCCACGCTGCAGGGTGTTGTGAACGCTTGCTTCCAACTGTGGTGCGGTTTTGTCGAGCCAGCTTTTTAAAAACGATTTCACTTCCCGCTGGGTGGAGACGGAATTATTATGAGATCATACAAGCGTTGTTCCAGACAGCATCAGATTTTTCCTTTTAGGAGCATGCAGCAGCTCAGGAGGGCGGATGATTTGTTGTGGGAACAGCCATGTCGACAATCTGCAAGCAGTCTAATCCATCCCTCTGACCGTTCCTTCCAGTTCCGGGACACAGGGGATCCTGTGCCTATCCTGGCAAGATAGGGGCGCAAGTCGGGGTACACCCTGGATAGGACACCAGTCCACACATACACACCAGTTTTCCCAGAAACCAATTGACCTGCCAGTATGTTTTTGGGCTGTGGGAGGAAACCCAAGCAAAGCACAGTGGAGGGAAAATACAAGCACCCTGCAGACCACACCCTGGGTCTGGAATTGAACCCAGGGCCTCAGCACTCCAAGGCAGCAGTGCTGAGGAACATATAGAGTTTAGGAGCAGAGGCGCCGTAAATGCCCGGTGTTACTGTGCTCGGGATTTCCCAGCTGTAAATGTTAGTGGGCACGTGTTCTGTTTTCCCCAGACAGCCAGAGTTCCCCGGAATGGCCTCAGACCCACCCCTGCCCCCAATGCCTACACGCTGCAATCCACCCTTCTGGAGAGACACAGCTTCAACCTGGGCAGTTCCAGCATGTTTCAGCAGCCCATCGCTGTTAAGCTCGAGGATGTGAAGAGCAGCACTCCAGCCCCCAACCAGTACAATGTAGGTTTGAACCAGGTGCAGTATGTATTCATGAGCAACACCAAACTTCTTATTAGCATTGAGCTCTTACAAGCACGGTACCTTGACTTTATTTTGAAAACATATAAAACCTTGTGATTACCATGTGTTAATTGCACATACAGTGCTGAGAAAAAAATTGCGACCCTCCGGTATAGTTATGGGATTTACAGTTTCTTACCATGAGAATCACAATGCCATCTTGGGCTTCATTGTGAGGTAGCATGTCTTGTTGAACTTTGATTGTTGGAGATTTCCTTGTTGGACACATTCTGGTTCAAATCCATAGGTTTGTCTTTGTATGGAATGCCCCTCTTTTTTGTTGATGTTCTAAAGAGATGCTACTTTATTTTTAAAATGTGCATTGTAGGTGTCTCTCAAAGGGATTGAGAAGAGCACCACGGTCTCTGCAAAGTCAGTCTTCCTATCGAAAACCCAAAGAGAGTTTGCTCCTCCAGGAGATTTAAAAGTGCCGTCTCCATGTAAGCTTTTACTATGACTGACCCGCCTATCGTCTCTGCTGCAATGCAACACACGTTGATGGAAATGAATGGAAATCGTTGGAGTACTTTACAGTACTTCCTTTTATTTTTTTATTTTATTTATTGAGTGATGATGAAAAAGATGCCACTTAGAAAACTGCTTCATTGTTTTCACCTGTTGTTTTTTCGTTCTCTGACTCATCGTTGTCTTTATGCTGCCTGTCTACGTCTGTGGTTTAAGGCCATTACAGGGTGAATGACTCCCTCACCAAGGAAAGCCCAAAGGTCCCAGTTTCCTGCTTCAGGTCAACCTCTGAGAGGATACAGACTACAGTTCCAGCCCAGGTCCCAGGCCCGGGAGCCTGCAGCCCCTATGAGGCACCAGGGCCTGTGAAGAAGACCATCTTTCCGTGAGTCCTTCCTCTTCTCGCTGCTTATCACTGCCAGCCTTCCAGTTCTTCAGCTATAGCCTGAAGGAGCAGCACACATCCAGCAGCATCGGCGTCTCATACCTCACGCTTCACAATCCAGTACCTCTCTGGTTCTCCCACAGCGCATTAGGCACTTTAACTCTTTACGCTCACCCTGCGGTCTATGTGGGTCCTCATGCCCCAGTATGGTGATGGGGACACTATACTGTAAACAGGCGCCGTCCTTCAGATGAGACATAAAACCGAGGTCCTGACTCTCTGTGGTCATTACAAATCCCAGGGCGTTTCTCGTAAAGAGTAGGGGTGTAACCCCGGCGTCCTGGCTAAATTTCCCATTGGCCCTTACCAATCATGGCCTCCTAATAATCCCCATCTCTGAACTGGCTTCATTACTTTGCTCTCCTCCCCACTGAGAGCTGGTGTGTGGGGAGCGTTCTGGCGCACTATGGCTGCCGTTGCATCATCCAGGTGGATGCTGCACATTGGTGGTGGTGGAGGGGATCCCCATTACCTGTAAAGCGCTTTGAGTGGAGTGTCCAGAAAAGCGCTATATAAGTGTAAGCAATTATTATTATTATTACTCTTCTTCAGAACAGAAGAAAGGTTACAAGTGAGAGGAGGCTATTCAGCCTGTATTGTCCATTTGATAGTTGGTAGCTTACTTATTCAAGGATAACATCCAGCTGTTCCTGAAAAGAAGTGTCAGTGTATCTCCTTCAGCACTATAGCTGGGTAGCCACAGTAGGTTGTTCCACAATTCCACAGTTGTGCAATGTAATGGGATTTCAGAAAGGTAAGGTACCGTTAAAACTATGAAATACACATCACTCTAAATGTTTTTCATTGTCTTTAATAGTTCTGTACAGAGTTTAAACAGCCAACAAAATATAAAAGTGTCGATTTTTAAAAAAGAAAATATTGTACATTTTGTATTTATTGTGTTCTCAATCCTATTTGGACAAGGGAGACACTACCATACAACGTTTAACTAATTTTGCTGAAATGTGCAAAATAAACAATTTGAAATGTAAGCCAGCAGGTGGCGCTGCAATACTATTTTTTTCATTCCAGACACCTGGCCATTAAAAAAATGTTACGATCATGAAGTTTGCCCTGAGTGGAAAATAAAATCAGTTTTGGATGGTTTTATTGGCTTGGTATCATATCCTATGGAAAGCCTTCTTAGTTTGTTTACCATTGCATTTCTAATTCTTCTTTGCTACAGAAAGAGGCACTACCTGTGTATTTCTGCACCCCCGATACCAGTTCCTAAGACACCTCCTCCTCCAGGGCCTGGCCATTATGAGGTTGTTAATTATGAAGGGGCTCCCAGACACTACATGTCCAGTGCAGTGTTTCTGTCCAACACAAGCCGGTGGACCGCAGACAACCACAGCAAGGACCTGCCTGGACCTGGTAAAGCCTGAAGCTGATTTCAAAACCACTACCGAGCGGTTCACAAAGAGGAGTCTTTCAAGGAGCCAGCTAATGGAAACTTACCCTTAGAGTGCAGAGGATTGTGAAGGTTGCAGGATCACATCCATTGCTGTGCCACTAAGTGATTGTTTTGAGGTGCTCACAAGGGATGGTATGCTATCCAGGCCATGCTGGGAAGAGCTGTACAGGAGTGTGCTCAGCACACTACAATGACTAATTGGATTGGCGGATGCTTTCATCCAAAGCAAATTACGTTTTTGTCCTTTGATGCAGACGGGTACTTTACTGGAGCTACTTGAGTGAAGTACCGTGCTCAGGGGTACAACAGCAGCAGTGTTCAGTCTTCCAGTCACAAGTCCAGAGCCGTAACCATTACTCCACACTGCTGCCCCCTCCCAGTAGTGACTTCTTCGACTGGTCGGGCGTCTTCCATACCGTCATTTAGGCAGAGTCGGCCCCTGGCTTGGGCTGGCAGAGTGAACAGAAGCACACGACAGAGTGTCCCGTTTGTAAAAAGACATCTGCTGCTGCTGTATCTGTTCCAATAAGGTGTTGCACTTCAATAATGTCAACTAAAAATATTTTTTTCCAGAAAAAATGAAAATACAAAATTGTAATAACAAGCAATAAGAATTAAAAAGTGTTAAATTAAATTAACATTTATTTTTATTTATAATTAAAGTATATTGATTCATTGAAACTGCTGTACACAAACTTTAAATTAATGTTTTTTTTTTACAGGTTTATATCATCCAGAGAAGCCAACCAAACAGTCCTTTTTGTACAATTTCTCTAACAAATGGATTCCTGCCTGAGACAGTCTGAAGACCGAGAAATGGATTGTTATTTTATTATCAGAGGGTTGACACACGACACTTCTCACCTTCAAAGCCATAGGCAGTTACTTGCAGGATGTATTGTGGGTTAACGTCTTTAAATGTAAGAACCCACTGTTAATTTATTTTTGTAAAGGTGCAAATTCAGTCAGTGATAGTGCCAGTTAGCAGCTTGTATATACAGTACAATGTCAGCCTTATGTTTTTAAAATGGTCATAGAACTATTTGCATTTTAACAAAAGAAACACTGACTTAATATGCTTCAGTAACCAATTTTATAAAGAAATTAAAAAGTAGAACATCAATATAAAAATTGTGTTTGTACATTTGGATCACAGGATCCATTAATTTTGCAGATCACAGACCATGTGTGGAATTTTCAGTGAATTTAATGGAACCCATTGCTTCATCATGTTGAATTCAGGTGGCAGAAGTCCACAGTTTTACACATTCAGCATCATCAGAATGCAGTCACCTTCCCATTCCACATGAGTATTTATTGATGCCTTAATGAATAGCAGCATTATGAACAATTCAATCTGGAAATAATGACATTGCAGAATAGTAGGAACTGTAACTGTTTTCACTAACTGCCTCTCCCGTTTCACACATGATCAATATAGATCTCAAGATAGATCCGAAAACTGTTCTTGCTTGGAGAATGAAGATGTTCATTTTATACCATAACCTTAAGAGATGTACAGTATTTAGTTGAAGATGTAATACAGGAAAAAACATTGTTCAAAATAAAAAAACAGAAAACGTTTGACAAAAGATTGTTATTATTTGACATCTAAGTGCAGTAGTAGTGATATTTTGTGAATATACAAAACTAATGCAGACACATCATGTTCCTGTACTTCAAAAGGTGGCGGTAAAAGGGATCACCGTCTGTACTATAGATTGTTCTCTATAATTCTAATCATTGTTGAAATCATTTTCAATTTATGCTTACTCCACAAGCTGAGGAGAATTGATAAATATAACAACAGTATAAAACAAATGAAAACGTTAACTCCGGGCTTTGGACTAGAGATGTTAGAGATGTAAAATGGTTCCATGACAAACTTAATGCTAACTCACAACTAAAATGACATTTTTCAGGTTTTATAATCTGATCAAAATTAGGGACTATACAGCCAATGGACTATACACTATCAGTCCAAATCAATCTGTCTTTTTCAATTTTTGAGCATATAAATGAGTTTGAAATACAGTATTGTTAACCAGGTACTGTTCAAATAAAACTGTCATCATACAGATATAGTGGAGGCCAGTTGTATGTAATTCAGGCAAAGGTAACTAACATTTTGGCTAAAAAAAAATCCAAAGCTCTTTGAGGTTCTTACAAGTCCCTGTCTTCTACTTACTGGGCAGCTAAGCTACAGTACTTATTGTCTTCGAAACATAAACTTATGTTACACAGATTTCCAGTTCCATACAGGCCCTGCTATTCATCACCTCAACCAGGAACATCAGAAGCCTGTCCTAGAAGCCTTAGCTTCTGATATTTAAAGCTTCTTGGTATTTAAAGCATCATGAATTGATGAATTGTCTTATCCCAGCTCGTCAGGTGACTGAGGGCTGCAGGACATTCCTCACAGCTTTCTGGGGGGATGTAGTTCAGGCCTGAACTGCCATCTTTCCTCTCAATACTTGGACTTTGTATTAAAACTTTTCATATTAGAGGAAATAACATCACAGATAAAGAGAGCCAGAGTGTCTCAGGGTTTATGACTTAATTGTGATGCATTTTTTAAATCTTGTTGAGTTTATTTTATTACTATAAACTTTGTCAGTTAAGGAGTGTCTTTGGAGTTCAACATAAACCATTACAGTACCTGACCTGGTCAAGGACAGGAAAGAAGCAAAATACCTTTGTACTGGAAACATAAAGCAATTTTAAAAAGCTTGTTTTAAAGCTCCAAGCTGATAATTTTCAAATAATGTTGAACAGCACACATGTACTATACAGTATATCCTAAACTCTTTTCCGAGACTGAACCGTTATCATTTTTCTTCTTTCTTTCTCCTGAAATTTTTGCTCTCATTTATACTTTTTCCCCATGTTTTTTTCTCTTTTTTTCATAATTTCTTGTTTGAACTGACTTGTTAGGAAGAAATCCAGGTAACGTCAGAAGTACACCTATAGATTGATATCTAAATTATTCAGCACTGTAATACTTCTTGTAACAGAGCAGACAGATCTGAAGTGTGTAAACGGGGCATAGAGACACTCCAGAACCAGCAAGTTCAGGCATTACCTGAATTCTCACAAGGTCATTGGGGCTTCATCTGCTTGGACACTGGTTCCTTCTTTTAGGAATCAGAGAATAGACAGAGGTTGTCTACTTAGGTTTTGGGATTGACCCAAAACTTGAGCTCATGGTGAGATTATTTGCTGTTTCTGGAAGGTTACAGATTATACGGTTCAGTTAAAAACAAGACGTGACCTTAAAAGAGCACCAGTCCTTAGCAAAAGGTTAACGAGAGCAAGGGATGGGTTACAACTAGAAGCAGTCTCTGTTGTTGGCCTGTCGGCCAGCCGGTAGGCTAATTAAGATGGTAAGAGTGGGACTGGCCTGATGGGATCGACCAGGTAGGCCAGTGCTTCCAAAGCATGCAGGTGTAGAACAAGACTTAATGCATTTTTATACAAAAATTCATATTCTATATTCTGGTCGCTTGCAGATTAGAATGGCATATGTTTAGTAATAATATTATTTATGGTACCTGAAAGTTTCAGGTTGTTGCACAAAGCTAAGGTATGCGTATACGTGATCTGACAACTGGAATCAATTTCCTGTCGTTAAACTCTGTTTATTTTTAAGCTGAAATCCACACTTACTTAATGACACAGGAGACTGGCATGCAAACAGATGGACCAAAGTCGGGTTGGGTGGGTTTAATTACTTAAGGCACTGTCCCACCTCTGCCTTATTCCTGTAACGCAGGGGGTGGGGGGTATGTGCAGTTCCTCCACACTTTCACTACCATCAAAAGGGGATCTGTCATATGTCTGAAAAAAAATGTAACTGTATTGAAGCTGTTGAATATCCTAAATTACTACTACTAGTCTTCTTTACATTGTTACTTATTTGCTTACTCATAATGAAAGAACCTTGTATATGAACTCTGTGCTAAGGGAAAGCTGGCTAATTCCTTAAAGGAGAAGATGGTGCTTGTTAAGAGATGCTCTGTAAACAGACCTTGGCAAATATGTGAACTTTATCGAAAATGTTAGCATACAAACTGAAATAAATACAAATATAAGACATAAATTGAAAGCCTTGAAAACAATGTTAACAAAGGTTTTCCTAAGAAGGGTAATAGTACAGCTAGTAGTTAGGGGTAGGTAGGGTTTTCCGAAGTAACTGTTTCCTGGTAACTGTTTGCTAATGGAGACACTCTTTGTTGCGCCACCTGGCACTTGAGCAGGACATTTTGTTCTCTGCTGACTCATATTTCTTTTATCCTAAGTAAGTTTTGTTTTCCTGCAACTGGCATCCTCCAAGACTTAGAGATAATTGTTTTTGAAAAATGTTAAACTACTGTTGTTTGTTGTTTTTAAGCTCTTTGATGATCTTTGTTATAGTAGTTAATGGTTAAAGATAGAGGCTGACAGGTAAGTGCTGTTTACTGTGTTTTTACTGGATTAAGAAATCCATTATCCATTAATTATATTCCATCTTTTTGAGCAATTGGAGACAAGTGCACAATTTCAATTCAACATCTTTAGTTATTATAAAGTATATGTGAATTTGAAATTTGCAGTTAAGACCAGAGTGTTACCTACAAAGTTAGTGTCAGCCTGAGAACTGACACTGCTCTTCTCTCACCTACTGTATTGCACACAGGTGTCACTGTTCAAAGAAAAGTCATTCTTGGAAAAGGTAGGGCAGCCTAAAGTTCTCCAAACCTTCAATGTGCAGCTGACAGCTTGCTTAAATGCCAGTACATTTCTCCACCCCAGTCTTCTGGTCAGTGTAATTCTTTAA